TTAAAGAGTGAAAATTTGACATTTCATACATCTTTATGTCAATCTTTTCTCTGAAACTAAGTCGAAAATGCTTAAAAATATGTATGAAATGAGATACAATTTATTCATACATAAAAAGTGTTTTTTTTTAAAGCAGCAAATTTAGTTACATATTTTCAAAATGGCAACTTTGATTTAATTGAGCATGCTCAGAGGCATAGGGTCATGGGTTAATGTGAAATTGTTTGATATATCTCTTCTCAAATTTAAAATAGGCAATCGTAGCCACATGAGGCCGTTCAGGTTATGCACTTGTAACAAGAGGATTTCATTGCAGAATTTACAATGCTGTTGGCTGATACTTTGCATGAAATTTTTCTGGTATTTATAAATAGCGGTCAATGATCTTTTTATGAAAATTATTTTTTATTTTTAACTAGAAAAAATCAACCATGCTGCTCATCCCTGATTCTTGAAAAAAAAAATGAAAAACCACAAACATTTTTGTTCTTTGTATTTTGCAACAAATTGTTAATTTTTCTATAAAATAAGGAGGTGGCTTATAATGATGTAATCCAGTATTCAGTTTCCATGAATTTTGTGATGTGAACGACCTCCTAATGATTGGGTTGACTTAAATTTTTAGTCAATACTACTACATTGTATTTACTCTATATCTCCTGATCTTAAATGAAAATTTTCATAATAATCTGTCTTAAGTGGTTTTCAACTATTTTACTTGCCTTATTATTTATTGGTTCTCTCGGGACACTGGGGAGAGGGGTCTGAAGACACTCATGCACGCACAAACACACACACACACACACACACCAGGGGTTATATGACTGGATTCAACTCACCCTCACTTTAAGAAGTAAATCAATGAAGTTTCTTGGAGGCAAGATGGCAGAAGTGTTGAGTTCCATCACATAGCAATATCTTTCCTGCAGATCTTTATAAGCTGACAGTTTCTGTAATTCAATGAAATGTGATTAGCAACGATATCAAAAATACAGAAAATCAGTATAAATGTATTATACAAAATGGACGCATTTGCTGACTTTCCAGCTTAACAAAAGGTTCAGAGAAATGGAGTTTTTTTGCAAGCCAATTTTATATTTCTATAACAAGATTGACTCTGCTGAATTGCACATTGGGTTAAATTACTAAAATTGTTTTCACCTATTATGAAAATATTGTGCATTTTTTTCAGTCAATTAATATTTCCTTGATTTATTGAGTTTCATTTACACTTGGCTAAAGAAATTAGGTTTATTGGGGTTTAGACAAATTCTGAAAACATGGAATTAATCTTTTAGACTTAAGCAGTCAATGAATACAAACACTAGCTTACACTGGTGAAGTCATGTAATATAGTTGCAGGGTGGTTGTCATCAAATGATGGTACTGTGATGGTTTCTGTCAGTTCTGATGAATCAATTTCTACATCTTCATCCATGTCATAAGTGGGACCAAGGGAATATGACTCGTATTGTGGAATAGCAATGGCATCATCAATCATTAGCTCATGGTTCTTGTAATTCACTCCACAACGTCCTATGAACTAGAATATATAACAAACACAATAGTGAAGTACATCATACATGTCCCCTTGAGGCAGATAGTGCACCAGAAAACAATAGTAATGTACCATGTGATAAACATCATACTTTGTCCCCTAGAGGCAGACAGTGCACCAGAAAACAATAGTAATGTACCATGTGATAAACATCATACTTTGTCCCCTAGAGGAAGACAGCGCACCAGAAAACAATAGTAATGAACCATGTGATAAACATCATACACTGTCCCCTAGAAGCAGACAGTGCAT